TCACAGCTTCAGTTTGCTCGGCTCCACGGTCAACACTCTTGGCACCAGCAGTCAGGAAATTAAAAAACGTATTGTGATGGGAAAGTGTGCTGTTAATGACCTCTCTAAAGTACTGAAGATGTAACGGTGTCTGTCTCTCTGGAGACTAAGGTCCGCCTGATACAGGCCATGGTCTTCACAATCACTTGTTATGCATCAGAGAGCTGGACAATGACTAGGGAGGATAGAAGAAGAATTAATTGATGCCTTTGAGCTGCGGTGCTGGAGAAGAGTATTGAATGTACCATGGACTGCCAAGAAAACAAACAGATTCATCCTGGAGATGGTTAAACCAAGCTACTCCTTGGAGGCAAGGATTCTGGGGCTTCGTCTGACATACTTTGGGCATGTTGCAAGGAGGGACAGGTCCTTGGAGAGGGACATCATGCTTGGTAGGGTGGAGAGATGGCATAGGAGGGGAAGACCCTCTGTGAGGTAGATTGATTCAGTGACTGGGATAATCGGAATGGGAGTGACAGAGGCAGTGCGACTGCCACAGAATAGAGCAGGGTTTAGGGCTGTTGTACATAGGGTCACTATGAGTCGCAAACGACTCAACGGCACATAATAACAACAACAAGAAATCATGCTTTGCTGTATGCTTTAATTTTCTACTAATAAAAACAGGAGCTCTGAAGCTGCTCGGGGACATTAGCCTGAGTGATCTCTTGGGGCTCTGGAAAAATGACATTTCACTCTGCTGGGCTTCCTTCGGCTCTACTCACAAGAAACAACAGGGCTCAATGACTCCGTAGGATAAAGATGAGCCATCTTCTACCATGTGATTTATAGCCTCACAAAATCAATGGAAGGTCATTTATGCATTTGGAATCCATGGCAGTGAGTTTGAGTAATTTATTAAGCATTCATTGGTTTGAGAAAGTTTGAAATATTGTGCAAATTACCAAAATGTAACACAAAGACATCAAGTGGATACATACTACTTGAAAAACTATTCCAACAGACTTGCTTGATGCAAGGTACCTGCAAACCTTCAATTTGTAAAAGAAGGAACTATCTGTGATATAATAACATTATATGTGCTCGTAAACTAGTATGATAAAACATTTCAAACATGCAAAAAAATAGAGCAGATAATTAAATGACTTTATGTTTACCTGCCATCCACATTTGATAAATCTGAACATGTTTTTACGTTAAGGGTTTTCAATAAAAAATTTTTAAGGAAGTCCTTTTCCACGGAAGAATTTCTCAACAGGTCAAGGTCTGCCCATTGATGGTGGGCACCAGTTGCTGAGTACCACATTCCACTCACCAACCGGGGCCAATTACCGGTCAGTTACCGGCTCCCTGAGCCCTTTATATTCATTATCTCACTGAGCATAGTTATTACAAGGCCGTTCGCTGCCTCAGCATCAGCCTCCAGGTCTTGCTGACCACACGCACACACACACACACA